CCATGTCTCAGGGTGACAATTTCCACTAATTCATCTCATATGCTACAAGGATCAAAACCCCAAATGTTGCTGAGAGACAGACACAGGTCCTAAATGCACGGAGCAGCCGCCGCACGTGAATGGTGGGAACTGTGAGCACCAGGAGAACACGGGCCCACCGGACATTGCTCGGAGCCAAAATTTTCAACACGCATTTTGCTGGCCAGCTATAGGCTTGTTTCACGAGCCTCATATTTTCAACTCCCTGCCTTAGAGTCCATTTTTAAGTAGTAAATACTACCTAATATTATTATAATAAATATTATTTTTTAATAAATATTACTGAGCACCCTACTACGTGATGGGCACCATTCTAAATACATAAGATGTGGTAACTATTTTAAGCCTCCCACAACCTTATGAGTAAGTATAATCTTTAGCATCATCCCCATTTGTAATGGGAAACAGGCACAGAGCACTTCGGTAGCTTTCCCTGTTCCGACAGAAAGTGGTTTGGCTGGGATTTGAACTCGCAGGCTCCAGGAACCAGTTTCTAACCACCAGGTAATATATGCACAGTACAAGTTTATAGAGTTGTACCTTGGACATTAGGGGGTTCTGATTTCATCACGATGGAAAAGGGAGTGTGAATTTTAGTGAGCAGAGAACAGTTGCTGGAGACAGACAAATGTGAGTCTGCAACCTAGTCCCACCATTTACTGTGTGACCCCAGGCAAATTAATGAGCCTTTCTTAGCTGCAGTGACAGATCAGCAAATCAGAGACAGCTGTTCTTACTCCCTAGATAATTGCCAAGATTAAGTGAGATAACAAATGTGTTCAACCTGACAACGACATAAAACACAGATATACAATATGAGTGGCTACTATTCATGTTAACAATGAAGCGTGCAATATTGAACTGAGATGCTGCAGGGGTCAGTGCCTGCCCTTCTGAACGAGCTGGACCTGGGAAGGATAAAGGGCCCTTAGGAATCTCTAAGCTTCTACCAGCAGAAGATTCCTATTAATACAATTCTTTATCTTTACCTAAGTTTTCAGAGAGAGCTGGTTAGAGGTAGAGTATACTATTGAAAAGTGTTCATGTTACATGAAACAGCTTTTCCAAGTAGTGGATCTTCTTGATATATTTTAATCGTACAGCTGTTATTTATCCTCCTTTGTAAAACCCAACAGATAAAAAAAAATGAAGAAATCATTTCTGTGATCCCCAACTCAGACACTAGATGGTGTTAAATTCACTTCCAGCAGCGGAAGCCATAAGGCCACTAGTCCTACTGATTTGGGGCTATTCCCCAGCTGAAAATTCAAGAGTTTGAGCTACTTAAGATTTGTTACTGGGGCATCCAGGCATCTTCTGAAAGTAAACAGACTTCAGATGGGGTTACACAACATGTCAACCCAGCCTGGCAACTATCCCCAATAATAAATCTAACAAATCACTGGCCCCTCTCCAATAAGAAAGAAAATATGTGAACACCCACAGTATGCCAGACACGGATGGGAAGTAGGAATACAGCTTTGGTTGGACAGAAGGCGTTCCTGCCCTCCCCCCTCCTCCCCGGGCATTTTCTCACCCTCTTGTCCTTTTTCTGTCAGACCTCCTGCTGCCCGTGGGGAGCTCCCAAAGAACTATACATGATGATAAAGTCAAGGGAAGTTGGAGCTAGAAGAGAACTTGGACACTTTTATCACCCTCTTCATTTACAGAGAGAAGACACGGAGGCCCAGAGAGAAAAGATGAATTATCCAAGGCAACACAGGCAAGAAGACCAGAACTATGCCCAGCGTCCTGATCCCAGGTCCTGTATCACCCAGCCTGTGTCCTAACAACCCCAGCGGGGGCTCTTACAAGCACAGCAAATCATCCCAGCAAGTGAGAAAGACCTATGTTCCTGAGCTTCTAAGAGTGACCCCGTGGGACAGTAGACCTCGTAACACTGGGCAACTACACCCGATTGGTAACAAGCATTTCAACAGAACATTACCAGGTATTTAAACACAGATAAGCTGCGGTTTCCCCACCTATTGCCCAACAGGTATTGCATCTGGTTGTTCATGACCAACGCGTTCAGCACAGCCAAGGTGCCCCTCCCCTCCCCACCCAGAATGCAGTTCTCTGCTCACAGGAACTCAGCTGCCCTGATCCTTCGCTTGTTTGAGAAATTTGCTTAGGCCTGGGGTGGAGCCAAAACAAATAGTGGAGGAGAAGAGAGAGAAGTAGGCCCAATCTCCCTGACAGCTGGTTTGTGAGCTTGGGGGAGCAGCTTCCTGTCTCAGAGGCTCAGTGTCCCCATCTGTAAAGTAAGAAAGTTAGATTAGAACCCCTTTTCGGCCTGAGCTCTGAGACCTGCCAGGTAGCTATTTAACTACCATGGTTATGAAAAGTAATTAATCCGGTTTAAATACTTCATTTGTTTTCTGATCTTTGCTACTTTAAATAATGAAAACGTGTTTTTCCCTATGTGTGTCTTCCACCTTCTAAAAATTTTTAATTACAAAATATTGCCGACATACAAAAAGGCACCAAGAATATGGGGAGATGGATATGTGTGTGATAAGCAAATATAGAACATGCTCATTGCACTAAAGAGTAGATATGTGAGTGCTCACTGGACAATTCTTTCAACTTTTGTTTGAATGTTCATAATAAAACGTTGAGAGGAGGAAAGGTATTAAGAGTATCACACTCGGGTAGCCCCCGCTTAGCCTAAGCAATCAAACAACCTGAATTTGAACATTCTGTCTCCTAGTCATTTCTTGGTATTTTACTACAATATATAGTATTATTTTGTATGGTTGCTTAATTTTATTTACAAGTTTTCATACTGTGTGTTTTCTCCTGCAGCTTGCTTTTGTTTTCTTTTGTTTTTTTTTAGTTGGAGATTCATCCTGATTGGTACATAGGATTAGGATTTATTCATTTTTACTATTGTTTTGAGGTTCATTGTATGAACAACTGACAATGTAATTATTGGTCAGGTTGCCAGATTTTTTTAATTGTTTCCTATTTTTTTAGTCATAAGTAGTGCCACTATGCCCATTCCTTACATGGCTCCATATCACCATATGTGTACATGTATACATATGAAAGGTGGTATGGTGATGTAAGATTCTGCATGGTAAAGAACATGGCTTGGGAGCTTCAGGCATAGCTGGATCCAGGTGTTCAGATTATGTCACCAGAAACCTGTCTGTTACCATCTCTTGGCTCTGCTTTCCTCCACACTGACTACATTCTGTGGCCTCTTCACATGTGATGGTCCCTAATGGCTCCGGGATTGTATCCTGCCAGTTTGGCAGCCTCAGTAGACAGAGGGCACCTCTTTCTAGAAAGTCCCAGCAGCTATCAATGGACCAGATGGTGACATGTGTTCTTCTTGAACAAGTCAGATCAGGAAAACAGGATTTCTCACTGGCTACCTGGGCCACGTGCTCATCCATCAGTCTTACCAGAGTCAAAGGGACTGAAGGTAGAAGAGTGACTGTTACCAATTAAAAGAGGCTGCAGGCTGGGAAGGCCACAGCCAAGAGCCAGCACCTCGTCTGTCCCTCCTGTATGCATACCTTTACTGTTGCATGGGATTACAGCTCCATTTACATATCCCTATCCCTGTTCATCTGGGAATCCCTCAAGGAAAGGCACCCTTATCTTTCATCCCGTCTCCCAGAGCAGAAGCAGCTCAGTGCCCAGGTGATAATAAATAGCCACTCGTGGAGTCAATCCCTTGACCAAATGCAGCCTGAGGGGTAGAGCAGTCGAACCGCTTGCCTCTGTAGTTTTCCCTTCTCTCCTGTGGACCCACACTGAGAAGCAAGATCAAGAACATTTCCACCATGCCTCACTCTCCTTCCTCTAAGTCACTAACCAGCAAGGTGGAGACCCCAAAATGCACTGTCCTCTCAAAAGTCCACGTGCACTCCAGTAGTTGCTGTTTATTGAACACCTGCTATGTGCCATGTATTTTTATACACAACAGGGGCAAGATTTATCAAAGATAGGAATGTGTTGAGTCTTCTGTAAATATACTAAGAACAGATGTACATTTTGATCACCAAGGATTTCTAACACCATACAGGGCCCATCCTGATTCACAAACTGCTTTGGGAAAATGTCATGCCCGGGATTGTGAAGCCTGAGGGATGCTGCCTCAGGGACCCAGGATGGCTGGCAGCGAACTTCAGAGATGAGTGGCCCTCCAGCCAGAAAGGAGGGCATGAAGCTACATGTTCACTCTGCTCTTGGCCTTCCTCCACTCCCTGGGCTCCTGAAGCCTCAGGCTCTACAACAGGGGACAGCGGAAGCTGCACAGGTCAGTGTGGCCTTACTGATGCTGGTGAAGGTGTGAAGGATGCTGTCAGTTAAGAGCAGGACTGGGTTCAAACCTGCTCAGCTTCTCAGCCTGCTGCCCCTCTGTAAAATGGGGAGTGATGCTACCTACCCCCAGGGAACATTAGAAGGAATAAGCAGAGGACAAAGAAGTGATTGGCACAATGCCTGGCACACAGGCCTCAGTAACAGCATGTTATTGTTAAGTGGTAGATGGAGGGCAACCTGGGAAGTAAAGGAAACATGCCCAAGTCTGCACAGGGGCTGAAGTTTACAAAGATGGTCTACTAGTGCTTCTCAAACCTGGCTTCACATTACGATAAATGCTAGTGCTGCAGCCCCCACCCCCTTACACCCGCGACTCCAAATACATGGGGGTGGGCCCAGGCATTTTTTTAAAGCTTCCATTAGATTATATTAGGTAATTAGGGTTGAAACCATCTGCTGTAGCTAAGAATTAAAGTCAAGCAATGACCTATAAACAAACCTGCTAATAGTCAATCAAAAATAGGTCCCCAGGCCTAAGAATGAGGATAACTTGGTTTTAAATTGAAAAAAAAAAAACCAGACTTAAAATTGAAAACTCACCTATCTTTCTAATCCTGAATGCTACACATGAATAAAATACCAGGTAATTTCTAAATTCACAGAAAGTAACCACTCTGGAAAAGTCGTAACAAAGCTCAAGTGTTTATTAAGAATTAAAAATACTGTAAATAAGCCATACAGTTCATTTCACAGTAAACTAACCTTTTTTTTTTCTTTTCCTTTTCTTTTTTTTTTTTTTTCCTTTTTTGAAGGGCAAGACAGCCATTAAAGAACAGTACAGCTCAAAGGGAAAGGGAAACAGCCAATGACTACAGCAAATGCACACATTCCTCACTGACAGATGGGAATCTGCTCTAACAGCAAACCTGGTCATGGACATGGAGGTAAAATAAAAAGACTTGGCCTCCATTCCCCAGGGAGTCAGCCCTCGCCTCTACAGACAGCTGTCACCACACATTTCCTGAAGAAATCCAAGGACTCCCCTTTCAGGGATTCTAAACCCACTCAGTTTGGGGACCTACCAAGAGGTGACACAGGCCAGCCACAGGGGACTCTGGGGTGCTTTGCCTTCACATTCAGAACCGTCTGGATTCTTTGCATAGTTACCTTTGAGATCACGAGACGATTCGGGAATGGGAAGGACACCCACCGCACGGGAGGCGACCTGTCAAGCAGCTGATTCTCTTCAAAGTAAAAACGGGGGGCCTGTCCCCCCTCCCGATTCAGAGCTGACACTTATGAGTTTTAACCAGTTTAAAGTGGAAGACAAGAAGTCAGTGACATCCCATGAAAACTTCAGCCAGAAGTATAAAAAAAAATAAATTTTCCTTAAAGACAATTAGAGAGAAAAGTGCCTCCTCCCGCCACTCTTTTACTTGAAATCTGCCAGCCAGCCAGGCATTTTTGAGGTTAAACTGCTTCAGCTCCACTCGGTCGAAGCCACCGCCATTCTCTGAAACTAGAGACATCCCCCTAAAAGGCACCTCTGATTCACAGGAGCGGGGCCTTCAGACACCGGCCAAAAGCAGAAGCAGAAAACTTGAGAAACCAATGGAGTGTGGTAATAATCGTCAATAAATTAACTGGGCACAAAAACACAAAAAGCCTTGGTGTCCCACGTGGTGTCGACTGCTCTTTTAAGGGGGACAAAAACATGGGGGGGGGGAGAAAACAAGACATTTTTTTGGTCATGAGAAACTTGACTTTAAATCCATGCCCCACACCCACAATTCATTTAGACTTTTTCATGAATCTTTTCAACTTTCACAAACAACCTATCCAGATCGTTTCTCAGGTCATCTAGCAAACCCTTGGCCGATTCCAAGTTGTTCTCGTTCGTTTCTATTTTCACGGAGTACGCCACCAAACTGTCCACGGCAGTCCTGAGCATTTTCAAGTCCGACTCCACTTGGCTGACGGAGGACCTGAGGTTGTCGAGAGAAGACAGTCTGTCCAGGACGTCCTGAGGAGGCGCCCAGGCCGGGTCCTGCCCGAGCAGCGTGTGGACCTGCTCCTGCACCTTCTGGAGCGCCTCCACGGTGCTGGGGAGCTCGCCCATGCTTCTCTTGAGCTCCTCCACGTCGCCATAGAGCGACAGCTGGGCCTCCCCCAGGCTCCTCACCGTGCTGGCCAGGCCGCGCTGGTCCGCCTCCGAGGAGCCCAGGCCTGCCACCCGCTCCTGCAGGGCGGCCAGACGCTGCCCCTGCTCCTCGCTCCGCACCAGCAGGGCCTCCAGGTCCTCGCTCTGCCGTGCAGAGGCCGTCTGCGCAGCACGGACTCCATCCTCCACGGTCTGCAGCCTGGAGTCCAGTCCCTGATTCTTCTCCTGCAGCGCCTCTAAGGCATCAGAGTTTCTGAAAACTCTGTCTTCTGGTCTGAGGGTTTCAGCTTTCAGCTGGCGTAGCTCTTCCTCCAGCGTCCGGATCGCCTCAGGGAGGCGGGAGGTGGACTCCTCCGACTGCAGGATCTTCTCCGTGAGGGCCTGCAAAGTGAGGTGCTCGGAGTCTGCCGCCTCCTTGAACTTCTGCTGCTCCTGCTTGAGGCTCACCAGCTCTTTGACCTCAGTGTAGACATCAGACTCCATGGCCTGGAGGGTGCTTCTCAGGGCCTCAATGTCCTTCTCCTTGGACTTCACAGAGGTTTGTATTTCCTTCACAACTCCCTTCAAGGCTTTGAAATCCTGCTTGTAGGCCTCGGGGTCTCCCAGGGTGGCCACCTTCGCCTTCACGTCGTTTATTTCCTGCTGGCTCCTCTTCTGGACTTCGGTGAAGACGGCGATGTTGTCGTTAATGGACCTGGTGAGTTCCGTCAGCCTTTCCTCCACCGTGTTCTCAAGGGACGTGAAGTCCCGCTCCCGAGCATCCTTCACCACGTGGATCCCATCTGAGAGGTCTTTGAGAATCTCATTCTGGAGCTTCTGCAGGACTTCACTGATGCGGTTGATCTCGCTCTCCCCTTGCTTCACAGCTTTCTCTGTGAGATCCTGTTTATGTTGGGAGCTTCTCAAGATGGACTCAAAAGTTCCAAACGTGGTTTGCAGGGACTGTACCTGTAACCAGAACGCAGACGGTAACTCTTGAGAAGAACTAATGGGTTCTTAGGCAATACAGCTACATTTTTTCAGCAGCCCGCCTTCCACGTCCCTCCGCTTCTAGAACAGCACCATAGCTTTCCTTTGAAAAACCATCCTTCCACACACAATCTGTGTGGTTTGGAGGACCAGCCCCAAGTGCTCCAGGGGTGGTGTGGTAACACAGGCCTAGCCAATCAGCACATTCCACCCACCCTCCTTCCGGAGCCACAGTGATCAGCGAGGGATGGGCATGGAGCCACAGCAGGCCAACAAGTCAATTCCAGGACTTCTGGTAAACTACTGAAAAAGAAAACCTTTCTCTACTGGGATTGCTACCTGTAGCACGAGGGAAGGCTGGAGCAGCTCAGACCAGTACCCAAAGAACACCAGTCTAACAGTCAAACCAGCATGGAGGGAAGCACAATTGAGAGACTGAAAGATCAAGATCAAGTCCTGAAGACACAACTCGAATCTCTTGGGACAGACATACCTAAAGGAATCTACTCTTCAACTTTTTAGTTTAAGCCAATACATTCTCCCTCCCTCTCTTTAAGCCAGCTGAACTGAGTTTCTAGTTCTTACAACTGAAAAGAGTCTCTCAAGTTTTCACAGGATAAAGGGTGAGCTATATGGGAGACACGGGCCTGGGAGATGAGACAAGGTTCGGGTCTCTGGGTGCAGCTTCTATCTGTGAGGCCCTGAACAAGTCATTGCCCTCACCTCAAAACAGGATCAGTGGTCCAGATGATCCTTTAGCATTTCCTGTCTTTGTGAACACACCTGTTTGACACTATACATTCATTCTAAATAAACTGTACCATAAACAAGGTCTGACCTGGTTTAATGTACTAAGAGGCTTGACCATATGATAATTAACGACCTGGGCTTCTTTCTGACATAGCACACAGTGCCACCTAGAACGCCTTCTTGCAAAATAAAATGAGAACCTGAATCTATCAAGCCTCTGGTTCTAAGTACCAATTCACAGAAAACATGTAAGAGGAACATGCCACAAGGATGCAATCCGCCAAATCCATGATATGGAAAATTCTCAAGGACAGATGACAAGGATCTTCAAAAATTAAATGGCATTTTTAAAGGGGTTAAGACAGGAAACTATTACAGATCAAAAGAAATACAGGAGATTTTATCAATCAAATGTAATGTGTGGACTTAATGGATTCTGATTCAAACAAACTGTAAGAGAGACCTACTTTTGAAAAAGTGAAATCTAATTTTGAACTGGGTATTAGATAATAATCCAGAATTACTGTCAGCCTTATTAGTTGTACACACTGTGTTTTGCCAAAAGGAGAGAAACGGAACTGTTGTTAGAAACAAATCCTAAAACACTTTGAGTGAACTCATCTGCCAAAGTTAGAGCAGAGCTCACTTTCTGCTGGGTGTGCCAGGGCAGCACAGGCCCTTCAGGGGCTTAGCACTCAACTGCCAACATTTTTCTGAAGCGCTGCACCTACTTGTGTTGCTGAGCCTTCCAGCTGAGGACCAGCCAGCCTCCCCGCCCATGCTACCCCCTGCTCACTTCCCAATACTGAGAACACATAAAACAAGAGAGCCAGGTGGGCACCCAACAGGGAGGTACAGGACAGGATTTCAGGGTCAGACTATGACTCCAGCCCAAAAAAGAGCAGGAAAAAAAAGGGGGGGGGGATGGAGAGGGGTGGTGATGGAATCAAACAAGAATAGCAAAAACTTGATAATTATTTAAACTGGGGTTCATTGTATTGACCTCTTTTATTTATGCTTGAAAATTTCCATGATAAAAAGTAACACATAAAACAGCATGGGCTCCAGAACCAGACTGCCTATGTTCAAATCCCAGCCTGGACACTTCCCAGCTGTGTGAACTTGGGCAGGTTATTTAGCATGTCTGTGCCTTGGCCTTCAGCTTCCGGATGGGACTCATATGCTTATGTTAAGGAGAGTTAAGTGAGTTAATATATGTGAAGTGCTTAAATTGTGCCTAACACACTGCAAATGATCAAGAAACGGTAGCAACTGTCATTATTGTTAAATCCTGCTTCTGAGGTAGCTCAGAAATCTGGAGATTCCTCGACCATTGTCATTATATCAAAGGGAAAATTAAAAAAGGAGTGTGACCAGGATGCCTGTGCTCTAGTTCCAGCCCCACCAATAACCAGTTCTGTGAGCAGGAATAGCCACCCTTGCTTTCCAAGTCCCAAGGTCCTTGTGTGTTAACAAAAGGTTTCTAGAGTCCCTTCTTGCTTCTACCAGTCTGTGATTTTAAAACAGATTAGGATTTGGTTCTCGGGAACTCCAGAATACTAAATAATTTCCCTGCTCCACCAAATACAACCTAGTCATAAAGGACACTTTGAGAAGGTACTGGGGAGAGCTCACCTCTGAAACTAGGTTATCCATTCACAGTACCTGCCTGCACTGAGCACAGCCCTTGGGGTAGAGGCATGAATGGGTGAACAAGCTCCTGCAACACAGTAGGCGGTCATCAGGGTTTTCTGAATGAATCAAAGAATGAATTAACTAAGACAGCAAAGCCTGATGAAGACCAAGCTGGTCCATTTCCCTCTGATCCCTGGCTGTTGCCTCTAGACTGGGCCATCTCTTTACAAATGGCTAGAAAGCGGACAAGATCAGAGATTATGGGTGAAACAAAACAAACCAACCCCAACAACTATGAAAAGAACACAGGAAGTGTCCCGCTAATGATGGTCTTCTGAGTTGTTCATCTTTATTTGCAAAGACCTTATTATAATCAATAGGCAATGGAGGCTTCTGTTCCCCCACCATACATGGAGTACCCACTAAGTGGCAGGCTGAATGCCAGAGAAAATGGCTAAGATGGCATCCCTGCCCTTAAGGAGCTTACAGCAGGTGGTGGGGCTAGAGAGCAACAGCTAACACTGAATTCCAGGAGGCACTTACTGAACACGAGTAATTATGAGAGTACTTCAGAGACACCATCTCGTCACATCTTCATAATTATCTCAAGAGGTGGTGGCTCCCATTGATCTCCATTTTACAAATGAGGTGACTCAGAAATATGGTAGAGCTGAGCCTCAAAATCCCAGAATGTTTGACTTTGGAACCTGAGCTCTTAACCCTAGTGACATGCTAGGGCAGAGACATGCTCAAATCACTGAGTGCCCGCAGGAGATGCTGCCTCTATCCAAAGCCCTGACTCCTCCCAGGCCAGAGTCAAGAGGAAAAACACCAAACATGACCAGAGAACTCACTCTTCCATAAACAGCTCCTAGTCTCACTAAGCTGTCCCCACCAGGCCTAAGCCTCTTCCTACAATCACTTCACATCACCTGGGCCTGCCAGGGCAACACAGGCCATTCAGAAGGCCTAGCATTGAACTGCCAACATTTTCTGAGCCCTGCACCCAGTTGTGCCTGCTGAGTCTTTCAGAAAAGGCCAAGCCAGACTCTCTGCCAATACTACAGCCGTTCAGTAGACCTGGGCCACTTCCCACCACCATGAGCACCTAGAGCACGAGAGAGACCAGGTGGGGACCCAATAGGAAGGTGGAGTAGAGTGCTTCAGAGTCACACTGCCCAGACTCCAATCCCAGCTCCACCACATGGTGTGTATGTGACCCTGAACAAGTAACACACTGGCTCCAGGTTCAGTGGGCCCATCTGTGAAATGGGGCTAATAAATGGTACCTGCCTCAGAGGGTGGCTGGAGAGCACTTAACAGAATGGCTGGCCCATAGTGAAAACCAATTATGAGTAATAATACTGCAAGCGTATGTTCCTGCTAAGAACCAGACCCCACACCCCACGCAGCCTCATACAGAGGTATAAAAGGGCTCAGGCTTCGGCTGTCAGAGGACCCAGCACTACACACTCCTGGATGCAAAATAACTTATTTATTGACCATCCCAGAGGTGCAGACAGTAGTGGTCACATACTGGAGCAAATCCTAATACTGTTCTGAGTTTCACGTCAATGGGAAAAGCATTAACTGAGCATCTACTACATACCAGACAAGGCACGGGAAAGATTACAAAATGAACAGACAAGTGAGAGTTAAGTATGTTCCGGGAGTTAAGCGTGATTTAAATCTTAGCCCTGTCATGGTTACTAGTCGTTTAACTACGCAAAGGTGCTTAGCCTTCTTGTGCCTCACTGTCCTCATCTGCAAAAGGGGGATAATAATAGTTCTTACCTTGAGTTGTACCAGTTAAAAGAGACAAGTGCACAATCAATATGAATCATTAAATAACTGCTTGATTACACTGCTAAATTAAAAGAAAGATCACTGTTTCAACAGTTTACAGCAAGATGGATTCTTAAAAACCTGGATGAAGCACTCCGCTCACTGTGTGGATGGGACAACTGAGCCCCATAGAGGAAAGTAATTTGTACACAGCCGTGATGGACAAAGGGGAGAAACCAGAACTGAGAGCATAAAGCCCAATTTCTTCCACCTCGATTCAAACCTCCCCTATGTGGACCTCCCCTCTTGCTAATTCCTAAATGAAAAGAAAGATCACTGTTTCAACAGTTTCCAGCCAGGTGGATAACCACAGGCAGGGGAGCCACCTGCAGTCCCTCAAACATGCTCAACATAGTCCGCTGGCCTGTGTTTTGCATCCTATGAACAATTACCAATCACCAACTAGACCGCCACTACCCTGGCCACTGCCATACAGGCGCCGGCAGAGTCCACACCGTCTCACTTCCAAACTCGAACAGCAGAAACTCTCACCTGAAACCTACCTACAGCCTGCTCCACAGATAGGCTTCCTGTTACTTGTACCTTCGAACCCTCCACAGGGCCTACACAGAACCACATGACTACCAGACTTCAAAAAATATTATGAATGATTGGTAAGTGGGTGGATGAATGAGGAAACTGCAAGGCTAGTGATTATTCTCAAGCAGTATGTCTATTTTTTAAGAATAATTTGACTTTCAGGATAGGCAAAGCAGTACTGCCTACTTAAATCCCTTGGAAAAGCCACCTCCCTGGGCCCACAGCATTGAGCAGGCTGACTCATTCCAGTTGCTCT